GCTCTGCTCCTAGTGATTTATGATTCTCCTTGCATGTATGAAGCCATTCTCGGAGGCGAGCCATATCAGCAACATCTCTCCGAACAGCGAGACCCTGGAGGGACTTTTTCTGACTCTGTTCTTCAACTGGGTGTATGACTAGCTTCGAAATTTTCGAGCGATCAATGTCAGAAAATTCAACTTCAAGCCTCAAGGGAAACTCTGGACCATCGTCTAGAATACTGAGACTAAATTGCATGCCTTTCCAATCATCTGGGTGTACATCCGAAAGCATTCCGTCGTGAACAGCTCTTTTTCGTACCAGTCTGCAGAAAGCACAGTGGCTGCTCTCATCCATGACCTTTGGAATGCCATACATTGATATGCGCGATTGTCCTGGTAGTTGATTGCCTGGCAAGCCTCGTCGCGATAGCAGGACTTTGAAATCGATATGTCGACACATGTCACATAGATACTGAGGGTCGCTTTCTTCGAGAATAGGTGGATCCGGGATAAACCATTCCTCATCACGACCATCTGAGTCTTGGAAGAGACCCCATCGGCGAATAAATTGGTGATGCTTGTACTCATCGAACTTCGCTGTCTCTTTTTCTTTCTCCTTTTCATCTGAAACCTCTCCAGAATCTTCTGAATTTGTAGACATGTGAATGCTGAGTCGACTGAGCTCTTCATCCGTCATGCCATCGACGTCTGGCTTTTTTTCTTGTACAGCTTTGTCATGATTTTCTAGACTCTGTTGCCCTTTCTTTTGGCTGAGGCTCTCCCAGTCGCGTACCATAGCCGCAGTCTCTGGTGATTGCTCCGGGGTATTTCCATCCTCTGCTCCTAATGCTCTTTGGAGGACTGTTCTTGTTGTATGGTCGCGAATGTTCCTAGAAACGACCTGTCTTAGATTCGGTGCCATTTTGAGGGGTTTCGTTGACCGTGATTGGATTTTGGATTTTGTTGAATTGGGATGAAAAATGAGATTCAAGGAGAACCAAGCTCGTCTTATTATATCTGCCGAGCCCCGTTGGATTGCATCCTTTGGAGTGTGATCCCTGCATTTCGACGACGCTTATCTCACTGCGCCACTAGAATTGCTGGAATGGGACGGACACGGACACGGACTTGAACAGGTGAGCATAAGGCTGATTTGATCCAGCGTAACCGCAGCTAAATTAGTTTCAAGTCATCAGAATGATTCGGCTAAGTGTGCAGAAAGCGACCCTAAAAGACGCCAAGTCTTACAATAGTATATAGTATATTCCAAGCTTTTAGAGAGATTAAGATAATATTGATAATAATTCTTTAATTATCAAGCAAAGGAATGATTCTTCCAACTTACCAGACCAATTACCTCTTGAAATGGTCGATAGGGAAGACTCGCCGCTCGTATAAATTTCCTAATATCCGTTCAGTGAATATGCACAGTCCAAGCTACCGCGATTCTGCAGTGAGATCAACATAGGCATACCAGCAAGATATTCACATACAGATTAACACAAACTTTACTATCACATAATTACACTATAAATAAATAAAACAAGAGATAGCATGCTCTGGAGCAGAATCAGCAATGCTACTGAGACTTGCTATAAGAATACATTGAGGTACTTAGCATTCCTGCCTTGAGGGGTCCTGGTTCAATTTAGCGTTGATTTGCATTGTCTTGTTGGATGATGAAATATTCTTGGGCAGAGTCCCTGTGACGAGAACGAGGTAAGGGGCGCGATAAGCATCAGCCACCAGCAACATGCATCACTGAATACAACATCAAAAAAAGCACGCGTCAAGCAGTATATCAAATTTCTACACAATAGGCTAAGATGAGGGTTCCAGTTTATTATCTGATCAGAAACCACACGACGTTTCATCACGTCTACCTTTTCCCAGTTTTCTAATACTTAGTAACTCGCAAAATGGTTTCAGGCTGTTGAGACCATGGCTTGTGAAGTCTCCACTGATCATGCAACTCTCATTCAACTACATAGTCAGACTCACAGATAATAGATGTTAACAAAGTTAAGCAGACAGGAATAGACTTCAGGGCGACACTGAATTCCCTATCATTCATCAAATAGCTCAGTTGTGGCCACGGGTTGGGAGTATGTCTCAGTATATGATGAGGTTGCACATAAATCAAGGAATCAACTACATATCCTCTGGCTTTGCGAATTTCATAACTCGGTTTCCATACACGAATGGCAACACACTGCAGACAAGACGAGATTTTTAAACTCGTAGAATTCTCCATTGCTCCCTTCTCATTCCACCTTATGCTGAGTAAAGACACATATATGAAATGCTAAGTCATATGTTTTAAAATGCACAAGTGCTTGCTAGGTTGGCAAGCAGTGACAGCGTGATAGGGCGAAGTAGAAGAGAATTCAATTCCAATTCAGGAAACGTGGGGCTAGTTATCTCATAATGTTATGACTTCTCTGAAACGCTCTTCTCTCTCTTTTCTTCTCTTCAGTCCACCTTGAATTCGCAGCGATAAGTTATTACTTTCCTTTTTTGACTGTCACCATCACGAACGGAATCGTTTCGACATGTCATATTAGTTGGCTTACTACCAAAGAGACTTATTCAAGTTCTGGTCTCTTTGTAGTTCTTCTTTCTCTCCCATGGCGTCTATTGCGGATTTGAGGTGTTGGAGTTGCCTCTATAACTTTTTCAGCACTCAGTCTCTCTTCTATAGGAAGAAAACACTTCCCAAAGCCTACAGTTGTTTGAGGAATTATATTTACTCGGTCTCGTCTCAAGCCAAGTGGCTATTTTCAGCAACCAGACATATCTTTTCATCCTCAGATATCCCTACACTACCTTACGGTGTGAAGTTGCACGCTTGTCAAGATCATGCAGCAACTTCAGATCAACCAAAGATGCACAGCGGTCACAGCGCCGCAAGTGCTGCAGCAAGCCTCAGTCTCGAGACGATCTCTCCACTGGCGACGCTAGAAGTTTCAACAGGCTGGGAGAATCTACATTTCGCAAAAGAATATTACGATGATTAAATCGACGAAAAGAGCAGAGAAATGGCTATACCTCAATAATGAAAGAACATAAAGTCGACTTTCATTAGGAACCTGCACCCCACGTTGACAGAAAGAGCTTCAATAACCTCGATCGGGTGTACCTGTACCATTAGCATTCGGTTGAAAAGCTACTACTTATGTACGAAAGCCAGGGTACGTCCTCACCAACAGCATTCATTCTAATCGAGACTGACAGTTTAAGGCAATGCATCGAGAGCTCATTTTCACATGTTGTCAAATCGGTCAGCCACGCTTTACAGTCAAGCTCGAGGGTACAACTTCACGACGTTGATGTATCTCATGAAGCTTACGTTATCTGAATGGCATTCACGAACCCAACACATCGAAAAAGGATCATATCCCTTTCTTATCTTCAGGCAACAAGTATTATGCCTCAACAACAAACTGCGATATTTCCAACACTCGAAATTCAGTATTCTTACATCTACCTCTTTATATGTCTCAAGTTATTACACAAGAGGGCGAGAGTGCATCCTGCCTCACCTCGATCACCATGGGTGCTCAATCAACAACTAGCACAAATTTTCCAGAAGATAACGATCTGAGTTCAGCATCTCACATTATATCCTGCATTCTCCAGGGGTTCCATGTATCCCAGGTTCTCATCACTAGCCCACAAAGACATATCTGGCTTTCATCAGGTTGACGCTGACCCCAAAGATGGCATGAGAGCCCCAAGAACCAGCAACAAACCAGAATGCCCAGGCGAATTTTACCGATGAACCAACGCCCAGACTACCCATGACATAGCCAGGACTACAAGGTTCACGAAGCCCTAGTCGCCTCCTTTCACTACCTGTAAGAGGGTTGTCGACTATATGAGAACATGATAGTGCCTGGAAACGGGCTGCCAGAGAAGACCGGCTCAACGCAATAAGATTTTTCAATACCAGTCAATATTGATACCTATTTGGCGATGCTAGAAGCACATATGGCAAGTCTTTGTGCTATTGAGGGGTTAACTAAGCTGACATTGAGGAGCGTAGATCTAGAAGGCCCGGAAACACAGAGAACATGGCAATTTCGCGCTCCACTTTTCCTCTTACAATCTTGTTAAAGAGATCACATCAAGGGTGAATCAGCGAGTGGTGCTATCCTGGGGAGAGTCTTCAGCCTGCGGTTTGTGATATCTCGTGCATAAACTTGGCCATTGCTGGAACATCTGGTCGAATGCGAAGCCAAGAGCACGCGCTGGCGTCAAAAGTGGAACAGCCTTGGAAAAAGAAAGACCCAACCGAATTCACTATATTGAGGGATTCCAGCACGTATAGAAAGATGATAGATTTGTTGGCAAAGAGTTCAATCAGTCCATGCATCTCTCAGAATAACTGCGTACTCGGCTTTTGGCGGCCCCACTGTGGTTGGATGATGCGGGGCTCCGTTAAGCCTCATTCTCAACGCAGAAAGCAAACAAAGAAAGATTGTAACAGAGAAATAATTTACGCACTCTAGGCTAATAAAGCACCAGATTCCGGCACATGTCGTATCATCGCTGTTGAGTGTCTTCTTAAGACAGAGGTGTTGCAGGGTGAGTTGTACGGTCCGGGTTGGGATTGGTCAAACCTGGTGAGGCAAGAATCCGTTTGGACTCAAAGAGAAGCTGGTGGCAGGCTTTGGCAGGCAGGGTTTTGGTGGTAACTCTTATCACGCCAGGGTGCGCGATATCGTTTAATTTTTCGGTAACGCCCTTAATAATAACTGATAGACTTCATCAATGAAGAGGGCAGTACAAATTTGAGAGAAAGCAGAAGTAGTATCAGTGTCACAAAGGCCTGGACGATTCCAGAGAAGGATACAAGCCATTGAGCAAGCTCCGTCCACCATATATTTGTAGGCTCCAGCTGAGAGGCTTCAGGATCCAAGAATTTAGGGGCAGCGGGGTCACGGAACTCTATCAGAGTGCAATAATAGGGATATAGTTTAATCTTTTACATATCGTTTTCAATGAAACAACGGGTCGGCCTGATGGTCTAGTGGTATGATTCACGCTTTGGGTGTGTGAGGTCCCGGGTTCAATCCCCGGTCAGGCCCTGACATTATTCTTTTGATGTTTTGAACATGTGAGGCATTTTTTGAAGTTTGATATCACCCCACTTTTGTGGTTGGTTCGCTTACTGCGCATCACATGACATCCCGCGGGAAAGACCGCTGTGGGGTCGCCAGGCCTTTTTCTATTGGCTTTCTCCATTAAGCTTAAGAGCTTGCATTTTTGGAACTGGAAGTAGGTAGCTTAATCGCGACAACAATCCACGGTTGCTGACGATAAATGGGAATGAATGCTTTTTTTACAGTGGTTAGAGAAGGCGGCCCGGGCATCCCATCGTTTTGTTTGGTCTCTGTGTGCGTGACTTGGCTCTATTTAAGTTTGTGCTGCAATGCATAGTAGAGAAACTCAAATTTGTCTGAATCAAGAACACACATTATGCAGTGGTTGTGCTGTTGTCACCACATGCAATGAGAATAACTCAATATTACAGTAAAGAATCAAGACAAGGCGTCAAATTAAACTAAGAGCACCTACGTAACTGTGCAAAGCCGAGAGAAGAAAATTTGGACGAATATTATGTAGGTGCAGGGTAGTTTGAGAGCTTCACAAGTCTCGTCTTAAAAGATTTCAGAGTACAGAGAAAACACAATAATCAGGAGCAAGTCAAAAGATAAAACAAATCATCGTCATTCATAACACGCGTTACTATCATCTACCAACTCGAATCCTATTTCACTCTACCCGTCACCTCTCTCAACACCGCCATCAACCATCACAACCAAAAAGACACCCCAGAACCCATTATCTAAGCCGCCCCCATCTCAATTTCGTGACCCTTGACACTCCTCCACTCCACCAATAACGCACCAATGATCGTCGCAGACGCGGTCCCAGCACCAACATAGAAGCTCGTTGTCAGCGCGTCGTTGTACGCGAGAATCACTCCATCAAGCCACTCCTCTCTAATCACACTGCGAATGTTTGTCGCACCAGTTGCAATGACAAAGTACGGATCTAGACCAGGCACATGCTCATTGATCTTGTTGATGAGCGTGTTGGTGAAGACGGTGTTGCCAGCTGTGACGCAGAGCGCGCCGCCGAGGGTTTGAGCAAAGACGATGAGGGCTGTGGCTGTGGGGACGTCGACCATTTCGCAGACGACTTGTACGGCAATGAGGGATTGTTGAAGACCGACGCCTACGCCGATGCCAGCGATGAGCTGGTAGCCTACCCATTTGGCTGTTGAAGTGTCGACTTCAAAGGTGGTGATGGTGCCGAAGCCGATGGCCATGAGGACTGAGCCGGCGATCATGAAGGGCGTGTAGTAGCCCCAGGTGGTGACAGCTGCGCCGGCTGCCATGGCGCAGAGAACGATGCCGAGGAGCATCGGGAGGTTTCTCACGCCCGACATGATGGGACTTTGTCCTTGTACAGCCTGGAACCAAATGGGCAGGAAATACATGGCTGTGAGGAAACACGCGCCCGTATTGAATGAGAAAAAAGCGCCAGCCCAGACGGTACGCTTTTTGAAGATACGAGGAGGCACCGTGGCGTTCTCGTCCATCTTGTATTGCACATAGACAAAAACGATGAGAAGAAAAGCTGCCAGCATAAAGAGCGACGTGATGACAGAATCATCCCAATCGTAGTCGACACCACCCCATTGCAGAGCGAGCAAAAGACACACGACGGCGGGCATAAAGATGGCTGTCCCGATAGGATCAAGCTGCCAGAAGCGCACTCGCCATGTCGCAGGCTCAATGTCACGCACGGGTTCGGGGAAGAAGAACATAATGACAACGACGGTGATGGCACCGATGGGAAGGTTGATGTAGAAACACCAACGCCATGAAACCTTGTCTGTAAAGAGACCACCAAGTAGAGGTCCAGCAACGGAAGAAATACCCCACATACCACTGACAAGACCAGTATAGATAGGTCTCTTGTGTAGAGGTACCGAAAAGGCAAGGATGGTGAGTGCGCCGGCAAAGATGCCAGCGCCACCGACGCCAGCGATGGCTCGTCCCACGATGAGAGTGACACTGTCGGGAGCGACACCGCAGATGAGGCTACCAATCTCAAAGATAGCAATGGCTGACAGGAAGGTCCACTTGATGCTGCCGTAGGTATACAGCTTACCAAAAAACAGCTGCAGTGCGGCTGTTGTAAGCATGTATGCCGAGCCGTACCACCCCACGTCATTGAGACTTTCGAAAGCGTCGGTGATTCTTGGAATAGCGGTTGCAATGATGGAGTTGTCTGACGTGTGAGCAGAGTTCACTAACCATGAGAGTTACATACCAAGAGCCATAACAAAGACGGCCAGACAGAGAGCGAGGGTGATTAAAGCGAGCTTCACTCCAGTGGGATACTCTTGTTGAGGTTCTGTAGTCTCGATACCGTTAACGGGAGGCGATGATCGAAGCTTCTCCGTACTCTCTGTTGGTGCAGCAGATCGAGGTCTAATCTCGTTGTGCCGCACTGAACCCATCACAGGATGAGGAAAGTCTCTACCATGATATTCTGGCATACTGTAGTCTGCTGGTAGAGACCGAACACTAAAGTTGCTTGGGGCAATTGACGAAGGTCGACTTATACCGTTAGCATCTTTGGATCCATGGGAGCCTGAACCATTAGGATGCGTCGCGAGCCACTCATCAGCATCTCGGGCAAGTTTGGCCGTCTCTGAATCGAAGTTGAAGTAGCGAGATGATTCCCTTAGAGATGAATAAAGGGTTTCTTTTGGTAGACGTACACTCAGGTGCGAACGACTCGTCGCAGCCATTGAGTAGTCTGGGGCGGACATGATAGAAGCCATCTTGAAAGAGTGTCTTACGACGAATGCTGAAATTTGAAGCGATCTGGAATAACAGCAGCCAAGCTCATGCGGAAAGACACGCCTTTAAGCTTCATCACATCACTCATCAACCAGAGAAGCCTGCAGCGTAAGGTAACACGACGGAATCTGTTCAGGAAGTTCATGCTGAGTCGATGATGAACTTTTCGTCTCACGTCGGGGGCCAGAGAAAACTACAGCAACAAGACTTCACAAAAGATCTTCACCTGCAGTTGTGGCCTGCCTCTCATGGCACAAGGTGTGGCATTCCGCACAAGCATATGGGGGCCTGCCATGGCTTCAGCAGCATTGACCAGGAAGAAAGCGTGGAACGATAAGATCGTGTAGCGCATCTACTCCCCCAGGCCATAAATTGCGGCCTAGGCGGAAGCCGGAAGCCGTCGGGCTTGAGGATGCTTCGGATTCTATAAGCCTCAGATGACCGCAATTTCCGTTCAGCTTCAGCCGTCGGTAAGTCCGTATAGCTGAGCAGAGGATCTGTTGACCAATCTCATCTCAGTCGATGGTGATGGCCTTGAGGCCGATGCTTATGTGAACATTGGATCTCCGTGTTGATGAGCTTGCATAGATCTACATGACTAAAAGCATGAGAGCGAGTCGTATCGACATCGGCAGTCATCTCGTTATAGGTAGGGCGTCAATGGGCTACACAATATAAGCAAGAGGCTTGAGGATGAGAAGTTGTATGACAAAAACTAAGCCAATTTCGATCATTTAGAAGAAAACGAAGATGGTCAAAACGGTCCCTACTTTTGAGGTTTCGCAACATGCGGACTTAGAATAAACCCCGAGACCGAATTTATTCCCAGGTTAATGTAAATTGGTTGATAAAGTTGGACCGGAGGACGGAGCTTGAGTTACCGACCTCGAATCCTCCCCGTTGAGTGAGTCAATATGACGAGACTGGGTGTTACAATTGTCGCACAAGGTGTTGTAAGCTGCTAGTAGCCTGCCATTCATATCTTTGTACAGTCGTTTACCATGCAAGGCATTAACACGGAAGCTCGGAACCTTCGCGAAAGCTGATGAATCATTGCATGTTGTATTAACAAAGACTACCTGTCGAAACTAAGCTTGTGCATCAAACCGGCGAGAAAAGAGACTCTGATATGTGATAACATGGGTTTAATGCTACGTGTAGCACAAAAGACAACAATGACCGGAAAACAGTAAGAAGATAACATATCCCTACGGTAGCATCCCATGTGGTGCGTCAACTGACCTCAGGTCAAAGCTGCCAAGATAACTCCAGATGTTCAGATGATGTCTTCGGATAGGTTTACGAATTGATAAGGGCTGCCAAATGGAGGGCTGATATTTTGCTGTTCGTGGTTGACTGTCTTTGCAGACTCTGGTGTGTTGGTTCGAGCTCTCTTTGTCGCTCTCTCAACAACATCCAAGTTGAAAGACTCCTTTGGGCTGTTGCGTTTCTGTGCAAAGATAAACCGTGCAGGATTTCTTGCAGGAGTTCTTCGGCCGAACTCGGTCGACCCATGAATTGAAGGACTTAGTTGAGGTTGTACAAATGACATCGGAGCACTGTTGGGCTGGGGGTACATCTGGTGCAATGCATTCCGCTGGTTTTGATCCAACCTAAACGTGGCGTCGGTTAACACGGGCGAAGTCGGCCACGCTGGGTGCTCGTGAGTTTGGGTGCTCGACTGCACGTTGGAAGCCAACAAGTATGGGGATTCTTCTATTCCTGGTGGCGGTACAAGAATGTAACTCCACGGGGACATTGACCCATTCAGCGGACTGTTTGGATATCCAGCTGTAGAGCTATTCCCAGGAAATGCCATCCCAAGAGCAGAACCATTGAGTTGCTCTGGAGCTGCTTGGCCACGACGGGCAAAGAGTGGTTGGCGTGCGCCGGTGTTCATTTGGGAGTTGTCTGTGGTTGCGGGGGCAGAATGTTGGCGTTGACGATACCACATGGCTGGATTGGGCCAGGCAATTTGTAGGCCTTCTAGAATTTCTTGAGGTGCATGTTGAAAAGAAAAGACCACTGTATTATTGACACTTCCTGTGAGCAAATTGCCCGGCGAAGCACCGGAGAAGCTTTGGTTGATGATGAGCTTGATACGGCCGAGGTTGTCAGCTGGGCACCAGTGACGTTGGTACAATAACTCCCGCTGGAATATGGGAAACTTAAGTCTCTCATTACCTCTCTTGTTTATGATCAAGGGG